CTTTAAAAAATGAAGAATATTCCCTGTCAATTCAAAGCTCTTATTTTGAATTAAATTAAGTAAATTTAATTAAATAATTCCCATTAAATGGGAAACACCCTCTAATGGTGTAGGGATTTCTTCATCTTTTTCAACTGTGTACCCAGTTCTTAAAAAATGAGCAGCATCATTAAGATCCTAATACCACTGGTCATCCTCAAAAGGGGGTAAACATTAATTTCATAGTCAATGCACTGTCGTGAGAGACCACAGAGGGGAGAGACTGATTCTGGCATGAGGGAGGTACAGGCTTCCTGGTGGTGACTTTTAATGGTGGGGGTGAAGGATGAGTAGGATTTCCTCAGAGGAAGCAAAGGGGAAAGGAGAAGAGAATGTTTCTGGAACAATGAACAGACTGTTAGAAGGAGCTGGAAGAAATGAAAAACAAGCAGGGTCAGATTATGAAGGGTCCTGAAGAACCATTCAAGGAGTTTCTATCTTCCTCTGTAGGGCTGGGGACACAGCTGCAATTCCTAGGAAGGGGAGTAACACAATTTAGTTTGGATGGGCTGCTTCCTCCTTATACTTTGCTGCAATCCAAAGCTTCAGAAATACTTGACCACTTAAGAGGCCCCCCTTTAAAATAGAGACATAGCTTTTTACTGTTTTTATTTACTTCCTGGTCCTGGGGTGTGTTTAGGATATACCCTCCCTGCTCCGCATGTTTTCAGGTGAAGACTATTCTGAAGAGTAACCCTCCTGAAGTAAATAACCGACATTTTTCATTGGATACTGAAATATCAAGTATGCGCCTCTGCTTATTAGAATACCAGATAGACCTAAATTGGACATTCATGGGAAGCAGTTCTCAGCTATTACATTTAGTATTTTTTCTCCTTCCAACAGACTATAATTGAGTAAAACAGCATGCAGTTGCTGAAAATTTCTGTGGTAGGCCACTGAAGACTTCCTGTCATACAGCAAACGAAACCATGGAAGTATTTAAGATATAATAATATCTTCACGAAATATGAATTGTCCACAAGTACCTTGGGAAGTGATATGCCCGCCATCATTTGAAGGCTTCAAGTCTAGGCTAGTCTGCAACTTGGTAGGATGGTGGGGGGGCAGTGGAGGGTGATGTGTGAGGGTTAGAGAACCCAGAATCAGTCCAGGCTCTGTCATTTACTAGCTATGTGACTGAGCAGGCAACCTAACCTCTCCAAACCTGCAGCACCCTCATCTGTATAGCAGGGATAATAACATGATGCACCTCATGGTGTTGTTATGAAAAATAAGTAAGATGTTCACTTAGCACTGTGTTTGGTACACAGTAAACATTCAATACAAACCAGTATTAAAAATAATCATCATAATATCATTATGAGGAGACATTCAAACTGAGGATGGGAAGGTGTCCTAGATGATCTCTAAGGCCGCTTCTTATACCAGGAGTCTAAGAGTTTTAACAGTTTATATCATTCATTGATGTCTCATTAGAATTAAGGCTATTTTCTGCCTGAAAAGTCATCGATGTGTGTATGTGTGTGCGTGTGTGTGTGCGTGTGTTTACCTGAAGTATTAGCAAACAATCCAATAAACAATGTATCACGTAATAAAAGATGTCTGTAACAGCCTGTATATAGTACACATGCATCAAAGGTTTGTGGTTAATTCTGAACATTGACTCACAGGTCCTTTTCCTCATGAAAATGTCAACAGACAAAGAGGCTCTGGAAACAAGTTTCCCCTTGGAACAATCACCAACAAAGCAAAGTGGTAGAGAATCAGTTTACCTACATACCCTATCTTTTCTCCAGTTAATAATTAAAAAGTAAAGTGAATTCAAATATTTCAAATGTTCCCACTTAAAACAATTCTGTTTTGCAGGTACAGTGCTAGCTGACTAAGTTAAATTTTTCCAAGGTAGACTTAAACTATTTCTTAGGGCTTTTAATACTCTTCTAGAGGTGCAATCAACCATTTCAGACCATCACAGAATTACACTACGGCTTCAACTAAAATATCTAACCAGCAAGTATTGTACCAGTTTTCTATCTCGTGTGCTAGGATCACAAAGGTCTGGCTGGTACAGCCGGAAGCGGTAAGACCCAGTTCCCAAAGCAATCCTAAAATTTGTATGGACCACAAAAGACCCCAAATAGCCAAAGTAATACTGAAGAAGAAGACCAAAGTGGGAGGCATCACAATCCCAGACTTTAGCCTCTACTACAAAGCTGTAATCATCAAGACAGTATGGTATTGGCACAAAAACAGACACATAGACCAATGGAAGAAAACAGAAACTCCAGAATTGGACCCACAAACGTATGGCCAACTAATCTTTGA